GAGCTTTTAGCTCGCCGCAGCAGGGCATTCAGGGCGTCGTAAAATCTGTCTTTGACGGCGTCAGAGCTACAATCAGTTGGGGCATAGGCAGACACGATAAACAGACATCTATCAACTTGCCGCTTGTGAGACTCCTTCACAGAGGTTGCCAGACGAACCGCACAGAGGCGACTATCAACAGGTATCCAGTCAAGTAAGGATACTTCCGCCCGGTGACTTAGCACAAACCACCCCCTGCCCAACCTGGTGTGAGAGACTCTGTGATTGTCGCGAGACACTCTCCAGTATAGCTCAATGGATCGCTGAGGTGCGCAAACCGTCACACCACGGTAAGGTCCAGTCTCTTCGTGACATATACCAGATTTTCGCGATCCAACTCCCCGAAAGGACATAGATACAATGCATGTGGCAATAGTGAAAATGAAAGTTGTGCCCTGTGTTACTCCATTATGATGTGGTGTTTGAAGTACAGCTGTGTCAGGACAGGAGGAAAACTGTTCATATGAGGATGATTTGAATGTGAGCTACACAAATTCCGGAAGTGATCACAGCAAATTGCAACTGCTCCAACACAAAGATTCCCTCGCTGTTTTTTATAACCACATAGATAAAATAGAATGGAGGATCAGCAGGGTTTTAGGTGAGTCTCTCGCAAAACGAAATTTGTTTGCAATTGAGTGCATTTCACTAATTTCGTGCAACTTAGTTTCAAACGGGACATAAGGTTGACGGAAATTCCGGGACTGCGTCTACCTGATTAGCCTTAAGAAGGGGGAAACCGGTCAAGTGCCGTCGGAGAATTTTCCGCAACCTTCTGAGTAGTGCACTACGTATATAAAAAACGTACAGTTCCCTCTTTTTAATTACATGCACTAAAGTCCTCTTTGTAGTGAACCCCGGTCGAATTGGGCGAGGTTTCTGGGAAGGCATTAGAATTGTGACTATCTAATATCCAGAAACTCAAAGATTCTAAGAGTAGCGGATTGCAGTTGTATGCGTAACTCGCCTTGCTGAGCCAGTGACTCGTTATGACAGCTAGTGTGTCTACTGAACACCCGCTAAAAGGACACGTACTTGATCAGTTTCCGACCACCTGATGAACTCACTAATCACAGAACGTCTTCTGTGGCTAAGCATCCTGGAAACCGACCGGATCTTCCTTGGTAAAGTACATTCATTCAAATATGTACTAGCCAGGAATAATGTCCACGAAGGTGAACAAAATTGGAGCGACGTTAATACAAATCTCTTAAAAATCTACACAATATTCTTTCTCTCTCATTTGGAGGGTGGGGCTTCGTGGGTGTTTCGTTCACAACTTTGAGTCCGTGTGGTTTCGTTGGGAAGAGCTTGACGAGTTGAGGACTGGGCTGAATTTCGCGTAACAGGTGAATTTGCAAAAGTGTGTGGCTCACTGCGTTGCGTTAGCGTAGATCCTCTGCGAAAAAACCGACGGAGTGATGATCTTGCGGAAGTTAAGGTGGAATATGATGGAGGTGGGGTAGAGGGGAAGTTATCAGGATCCTCGAGTGTGTCCGAATACTCGTCACGGGGAAACTCAACAGCAATCGCTCCATTAACCAACTCAACTGATGTAATGGTTCGACCACGTTCATTCCGGAAAGGATTTGGTGGCGGAACCGCAAGACTGGCAGAGTCGTCACTTACTGGCGGTGGTGGTCCACCATCTTGAACACATTCTTGATAGTTTGGTAGCTTTGGTAGCATTGATGGAGGGAAAAGGTCGACGAGCGTCAAAGCTGTAAAGCAAAACAGGAGTGAACGTTAGTGACTTGGGTGGCTTAGTTATATGATATTTCATCGGTATAGGCATGCATCAGAACTTAGTTTGCTTCAAATTGCGCAACAGCGTCAATCACAGGATGTTCCTCAACTGTGGATGTTACTTAGATGAAGCGGACTCTTTTTGTGGGGAAGAAATATTTTACGCAGCCTTTCGTATTCTGTATGAAAGCACGTTATATCAGCTGTATCTGGTGGTGGGTCTACTCCTTAGTCTTCATAGGCTGAATTCCGTCCGCATCACCCCGGGTTATTCAAACGAAAAAACGTATTCCTGTAAAAACAACACTCATAAGTTTGATTGTTAGCTCCCTCTTTAACGACGCTTTCTGATACCATGTTCAATAATTGTTGGTGTCTTATTCGTGGAAGCGCTTCTCAAAGCCTGAAAGACTTTATGGGAACCAAGGAAAAGTGTGAGTGTGCACAAGGTTGGAGGATTTTAGAGTTTTTGTTCAAAATATACAATTCCCTCCCCCTGTATAGACAACAAATTATAGTTGGTATCTTAAAGTTTGTTCTCAACTGGAGGGCCACCGTGTGACATTCAGCTGAACAGGTCTGTGTTTATGCGCATCAGTGTGGTACCTAACGAACTGCTTATTAGATAGCAGTGGAGAGACCCGCCAAACAAAAGCGAAACGGTCGGTAAGTATTTCTTAACTATTGAAGAGACAGGTAAAGCTAGAAGAAGTGTTCTACAGCAGGACTTCCAAAGAAAAAAGACCCGAACCTGAAGAACATACCTCGGAGTTTTATTCACATTATCTGATAAAATTCTTAAATGGAAAGGAAAGTGCTCATTCACCCGACAGTTATGGAAAAGTCAGTCTGTTGAGTTACTCCGGAATGTTAAAAGTATTCATTCTTCTCAACCAGCGAGCGCATAGGTATACCCATTTAACAGAAGGGCATTTGAATTCAAAAGAGCACCTCCGAAAAGTAAAAAGTACACAAATTTATGTGATCCAGTGTGGACTAGTATGAAGATGTTTACCGGCTCAAGATACGCTATGCAAACCCTCATTATCGAGAATACATTGACATTTTATGCACCATTCTTTACGTACGGCTTTAGAAATATTCGAACGCAGGGTCTTCTAAATGGATAAGCCAGTCCGACTAGATGGATATTATAAATAGAATAACTGAATTAATAAGAATGTTCAATAACGCTCAGTATTCCGGATTCAGGAAGAAACACGCAGAAGTGATGAAGCGGTGTACAAGTGACTTATATTGATGAGAATATATTTGTCGACATGCATTTCCACTGTTTTCAGTCACTCTCTTTCTCCGATCCTTGAGAGTTCACAGCACATAAAACATGGGAGTTGTTCCTTCTAAGAGAAATGAGTAAGCTGAACAGCTTAGCTCTCAATATTCCACATTCCAATTCAACAAAGGGTGGAGTGTTTCTGCATGCTGGAGGGTCATTTTTCGACTTTCGGCCACTCAGTTGTAGGATCGATGCTTAACGGTATTCAGTCATGTCACGATGAGCTGATGTTTTGTTCGCCCATTGTTCATTTTTTTATTGGGTGTACATTGGTGTAACCCATTTGGCTACGCGCCATCCATCAGTGTTCTCCTAGTTATGAGCAGTAGTCCTCCATTGGGCCAACCGTTGTTGGCTGACTGATCCGATCGGATGGATAGCAGTCGTTCATAATCCATTATGTCTCCGCAGGCAATGTAAACCAATCGCACCAACGATGATGGTTGCCAGTCACAGTTCATAACCCGTTAATTGTGAAGTTCATGTTTCATAAAGCCCACTGAGCACGGTGTTTGTGCACGAAATCTTTGCGATGCTAATGGCTTCTACGTTAAATTTGTCTAATGGACGTTTCGTGACTCAAATCCTGTGTTCAAAAACCTTGATGTGATCGGGTAAGTACTAGTGGATTCGTTCGCAAAAATAAGAAACGTTAGACGGTCTCCAAAAGCCTGTGTTCGTTTGTGTTTTGTACTTTGAGAAGGCTTGACCCCACAGGTATGATACGTCCCCGTACTTTAAGCCAGTGCTATCGTCTCCAGAGGTAGATGGATCCCCGGGAGAATAGAAATTTCGAAGGATTCCTTCATACTCTCTTCTGTTAGAAAGTTGGAGAGAGGCTGATTAAAAGAGCGATCCTCAGAGATCCGAACTTTGATATTGAACACAGAAGGAAGGTCTACGACCACACCTGGTTGAATACAGGAAACGGAATGCCTGTGAACTTAACAGGGTCGTATCACGGTGCAGTCGGCGGATTCAAGCTCCGCTCTCAGATTGAGGAAGTCGACGATTTATGGTAGTCGGTAATTCTGATGATGTTCAAGAGATTTCCGAAGAATGGAAACAGTGAAGGTAATGAAGTCGATGCATCGAAAACGTGGAGGTAACCTTACCTGTGTTCCACGGGTTTGCTGCTCCGGGACGCCACTCAGTCTCTGAAGGAAGACGATTATGAGGAGTTTTTCGTCATTTGCAGTACAGCCGACAACTTCGTGGTTTTCGCATCATGTTGTGATGTTTTTTTTGCGAATAGGAATAACAGCTGAAGCCTTCCATTCCACTTATACTTACCGTCCTCCTGACACACAAGGTGGCAACTATGACACCCAATTCACAAGCGTTGCTCTAGTAACCTAGTAAATAGCTCGTGAGAGATATCGGGACGAAGCGCCTTGTTCCTTTTAAGATGATCGAGTTCTTCAGATGAAGCTGACCAATTCACTTTGCATTCCTAAAAAGCCACTGATGTCATCAAGGTTTTTGGAGCAGTGGGCCAGCTGAACTATCTCTCAAAGCGTTCTACTCAACGTTGTAAGCGATAGGGTAATGAATAAACCTCAGACCCATTTTCTTTTGGGAAAATTTGACTTCTAATAAGTCTTTTTGAGTCGGTTTGCTCCAAGAGCTGAAACAGAGGTCAGCGATTCCTAATGGCATAATCTCTTTCCATTCCCTGATTTTCATCTCATCCACCATCGTTCGGGGTTATTTATCAGACCCTGAGGTATCGATTTTTGTGCAGCGTCAAAACGTCCACCTTAACGGGAAGCTTTCTTCCTTCAACCAGAGAGACATGGTGCCTGGATATTTATCGATAGTTCTACGGCGACTAAATTTTGGTGCAAGAAGACTGAAAGACTGTGGTCACGGTGACCCGAAAATATTTCCAAACTCTAGTTGGTCATTCGGTCAGAGTTACAGTTGGAAGCAGCTCAGATAATCCTTTTGATAATATTCTTTTGTAGACGGTGCTTTCAGACGGCAATTTCTGAGGTGAAGAACGGGTACTCGCTTCACCGTTGGAGTACGGAGGTCTTTAAAACTCGTACCAAATATCCAATTAGTGCGTTAAACGGCTAGAAATGTGCTATCTGTGCCTTCATCCTGTTGTAGAATATTTCAAGGATCGCGACGTAATATATCTGTCAGTAGCTGCACCAAGTTGTGTAAATCTGACCACTTCTGATGGCCCTTGATTGTGCCGAGCCGTGTGTATCCGAAATAAACTACTGTTCACAGGAACCCAGTCTAACACGGTGTCTTCGGTCTTCCCGCTCACAGCTGATATCACGAGAGTAAGCCTCGATCACCGGATACACGAATAGTAACGGGCCAGAAAGTGGATGCTCTTCTTAGCAGTTTTCAGGGGGTATTACCGAGCTGGAATGACAGTGAATGAGCGAGGAGGCCCACTGACTAGCCTGTCAACACAGGACGAATAACGACTGTTGCGATGGAACGATTAAACTTGGAAAAACCAGAGGTTCAGGGATTAAGGTCGAATGCGATGTATGCACGGGCAGTCAGATTTGTGAGAACCAATTAAATAAGATGGAACTAAGATAAGACTACTGGTTTAGCCAGTACTGTGAATGCAAGAGATCATATCCGGTTGCTCAGGCCAAAAAGGCAGGTTTTCAGATTCAAAACTCTCAAGCCAGTGTAACGATGAAGGCCTTATTCGGGGACCCTGCTTCTCTACAGCAGGGTCCTGACTCTAAAGCTCAAACTGGGGGATGGTGGGTAGTAGGGTCTTAAAAAGGAACCCGTCCGGAGCCGACTGCTCAGCAGTCTGGTCCTCTGGGATGCAGGGGGCTGGCCTGGCCCCAACAAGGCTTTCAATCTGTCATTACATGATGTGTCAAGAGTATTGTGTGCGAAAACCAAGTGAGCACCTGTCTTGTGTGATGTTTTAAACATACGACCGTTGCCTATGCGCATGGGATTGGAAGTTATAATAGCTTTCAGAGCCTTTCGCACACAGTAGTTATGATAATAACAGTGTTATTCGATGGATAGCCCAAAAGCTAGATGAATTAGATAAAATTTTTAGGGTCGAATGCTCACATTTGGTGTGAAGATACATCTAAACTGACCTCAGATTTTTGTACCTCCACACATTAGATGATCCTACAAGGCCAGCTTCAGATTTTCGCAACAGTCTGCATATGTAGTGCTTATTATGATTTATAGCACATGAGAAATAGACTTATCCCTTCTCTACACTTGGCTCAGTACACAGTAGATTACGATGGTTACAGTTATATCAGTCAGGTACTCAGAAAAAATGCATATACATTTCATCAGTTAGCCAATACACATGGGTGTCCTGCTTAACAACAGTGAGCCCAAGACATTGATTCCTATATATTCATCCATTGAGTTGTTACCACTCATAGTATACATGATTATTTATTATAAAGTCTGTCTCATGATTATGGGGTACATGAATAGAACCTAGTCTGAGGCATCTTATAATTGTATAGTTAAATTCAGTTTTGTTGCGCTTACTTTTCAAGTATATATTACCTTTGAGTTTCAATAGTGGTCATTAATAGAAATTCACTCCATTCCGGTTTAACTTCTTACTTGAGTACCTTTCGTTTTAGCAGCTACAAAATGCATTATGGTGCAGTCAATATGACAAATAGTCGTTTTGTAAGTCTGAGCTACAGATATTGAATTGGACGACAGGTTTAGTGCTTGGTGGTTGGTCAAGGGGCTGCTGATTTCTTCAGTGAGCTTGCTAATTAACTTGCGAGAATTTCACCGGAAGGATATCATCAATACGCAGCGATGGAATCCTTTCGAATGGTGGGGAAACGTTTGAAAGCCAACTGATAAGCTATGCGAAAGGATCAACAGCCACCTGTTCAACCGACCTAACCCACTTGTATTCTGTTACATTTCATGGTGTGGAACTTATTTCAGTTACAAATACATGCCATTTGCACTTTCTTAGAACTTACGGTATCCTCCATTAAAGGCTTCAAGTCCAAAAGGATCATCGTCCTGGAGAGCTCGTGCGTTTTCGGTCCGGCGCCTGCCCGCGCGACATTTCGACCATGGTATGCACAGCATCATCAGGAAAAGGACCAAGATCAAAGCCATGACACCTAAAGTGGCTCCGGTAGCCCTAAAATAACACAATATAGACTAGGTTAGCGAAATTAATTTAAATGGAAGTCTCTTAAACTTAATTGGTATGCAAATGAGTTTATTTCGGCGGTCTACCCGCTTTTGATGGAATTAGCCGGCCCAGTGTAGGTGACTGAAAACCATTCTTTTTCACACTACTGCCAACAGTGAAGTAGTCTATGGAATTAGTCGCCTGTATAGTCGATGTACAGGCTTGGCTAAAAACGTTGGGTCTGACGCACCTGGACAGTGGACAGAAAGTCTCACGATGACATAATATCTTACCAAACTTTGTAAATTTATGCAATTAGCCGGGAAATGTCGTATTTTACCTGCATTTGCTGACTGCGCTTTCTTCCAAGGGCGAAACCCGGCCCTCATCTAGATCTGCTTAATCTCGAGGCGGAGGGAAGGCAGTTTAACACGAAAATCATTTTAGGCACACCAGATATGCCGAATCAGTTTTTAAGGTAATGCGCTGCTAAAAGACAGAGAGCAGATAATCTCAATAAAGGTCGGAACGCTTTTTACGCGTGGTAGGCGACGGAACAACCCTTGAATAATGAAGCCACTTTTGGAGATTAAAATAGATCTGGTGAGGCCGGGTGAATGGTTGAATAGGTGCGCTGCGACTTCACTGGTTCGTGAAACGGGGGTGAGCTGCATGAAGTAACTGAAGATTTGTGCGTTTTACCAAAAAAATGAGCAATTTTTATATTGCTGCGTTTCGAGTTGAGCTAAAAATTTTCCAACATATTCAGATCGCTTCCAAGTAACTGAGACTCTCTAGTAGACGTATGAACAAAGGCAAAGAACCCATGGGTTGGTTATGTATAAATTTGATGATCCCCATATGAATGTGGTGTTAATGCTTGGACAATGTGTGGAGCAGAAACCAAGCAGAAAGGGGAAAGGCAGACTTAAATTTCAACACTGTTCTCTGCAAAGCCACGACCCACTGGACCACGCGCTTCATTCAGTAATTTTTGCTGATCACTGTGCGGAAGTAGGGCCTCTGGTGAAGGTGGATTCAACAAGTGACTTAAAACGAATAACCTGAGAAATCAGAAATTTTTGAGGGTCACCTAACCGTGTGATTTTTAAAAGAGGTCCAAGAATATTACAACATCACTTTGTTGCACTATTTGAAGAGTCATTCAATCTGTAAGTTGCCATATCAAGGCTTTCATACCGGTATGTAACAACCTTGTAAGACTGGTGTCTTACCATTTCCATTTCCGTAACGTGACCAAATAGTTTTTCCTCAAGCTGGCGAAAGGCAAACTACTTTACCATTCAATCAAATTTGGATACTGCAGATAAATTCAATCTATACTAAAACGTCGTAAAAATTTGAAAGATGGTTATTTTTATTGAAAATTGTCACCACTACGCATCTCACCAATCTCCAGAGCGATTCCAGCCAATGTTTCTGGAAGGACACTACTCATAAGGTTGCTGAAAACTCTTCGACAGTCGACGAGAAGTCTCACTCTTCTTGGGGAAGTTTAGGTAGGCGTAGTCCGTGGATTTCCGTCAACCCTGTGTTCCGCTTGAACCCAAATTGTAAGAAATTCGCGAAATATTCATTTGTACAACAAACAAACTTATCGCGCTGTTTACTGAGTACGAAAGCCTGGATGTTAAAATATTCAGCTACTGAGCACGAAATCGCGTCTTCGGTTCTACATAGCTATTTGCGCCGCTACTGCTTATCAACATGGCTAAACCAACCACATCGTGTGTAATATGACCACCTGCAAGGCGAAATATAGGTAGAAAGTCCAAAACCGTTCTAAAACAGGAAAAGGGATTCGCACATTTGAACTAGATGAAGTTCGTACGAAACAAACTTATATGCCGAGCTCGACCAAAAGATATGGGTAAATGTACACGGGAGAACTAATAGTTATGTCCAGCGTAAGTAACCAAGAAGAAAAAGCCCTCATTTTGAAGGTATCCGTAAAGAGTTCAGTACGAAGGTAATCAGATAATCCTGGCTTTGTATGTATCATAATTACTGGTGTAGTAAATTGGGAAATACAACGTTTTTGATTAGAGTTTTTAATGCTGAACGCTTTGGAACATCGGCAACCTCAGTCAGCAGGACAATAGACAGGAAATCATGTGCCAGTTGGTGTTATAATTGAACCAACCAACAGCATATGCGGTTTGTGTGAGGATATGTGGTTTTATCGCGGAGCTTGAGGAGCTATATGTGCATGATCATGTTTTTGACGTTTACCCGATCCGTCCAAATGCTAGATCGTTTTTGGCCATCGATTCATTTGGCACTGCTGGTTGAGAATGACTGGCTGGAGCTTCTGCACAGGGAAGTTTCACATGTCATGATTACTCAGCCTCGTTGAGTGCATCAGGGGTGACCGCCGAGTCCCCACCGAGAGACCTGGTGCTCTTCTCCAAGCACTACACCAACACTCCTCGTGGATTGACTGTTCCTGTAGGATGATGGGTACACAGCACGAAGTGAGTTATGTTTGTCTGGCAGTTTTTAGATGTGTACCGCAGGAATCAGTCACCCGGAAGTTAGAATTGACGGTAGTGTGAGGGGACTTGGTCATTTTCATCAGATTTCGTCCTGTAACTGAAACCAGTGTGTGCTGAAAGGCCGGAAAGCATTGTACAGCTGTTTCCTTCTTACTGGGAATCAGCAGCAGCGCGCGTCTTACAAAATTTAGAGAACTTCCGGTCAGTGGTTGAGCAGGTAAAAGAAATCATCACCATCTTGCTGGCACAACCAGTCCAGACTGTAGATGCAAGGTCAAAGGAAGCGGTCTGATCACACGCCTGTCTACCATTGTCTATAGCATGATCTACCTGTGTCAGAAAATTCAGGAAGGTCAGATTCCTGGAAATAATCCCAAAATGTCATAAACCTACTGAGATCCTCAAACTGCAACCAAATCCTGGAAAGGACGTCGTGGGGTATCCGGGATAGAAAACCCTGGTTGGACGCTTGAGTGGTCACTCCGTTCAGCAACCGTCGACAATCATGAGTCTTCAACCATGTCATACAAGTAACATCAGCCAATCGCTCAACGCTGATAGGACAGCCTGGACTCAAAGTAAAAAGTGCGTTTTTAAACCACAGAGCCTCTTGTACTTTGTCACCCGCCCGTTCGCAGTAAAGTTGTTGTATTCCCTGTTGGTGGATCTTTTACCGATATCAAGACACTAGATCTGGGCCAGCAGTTAGGTTACAACAGATTGGCGATGGGTGCGGAGTGCGAAAACACACGTGAAAACCCTTTTTTGGTCTCCTTGAGGACACCGAGTTGTGCATCACTCACGATTTGGGGGATTAAGGTTAGTTAAAACAAGTAATTAACCAATCAAGCGGAGCGTTGAAAAAAGTCTCAGATTTATCATCAGACGAAAACTAGTCCACTGCAAATCATATCTTCATGATAATTTCAGTAGTAACGGGTAACAAAGTACTTTGAGAGCACAGATGCCGAGGCTTTGTCACCGAACACCGTCACGCACAGAAGAATTTCGTACTGCGAACGGCTCTAAACTTTTCAGCGTCAAGTATCATCGATTATTGATTTTGCATCCAACGTGGGTCAAATTATATCACGTTACAACGAAATGCAGGAAAGGAGTCGGCATACTGATTTCAAGTTGGCAGCTTATATCTTGAAAAACTTTTCGATTTCATTCCAAAAGTAAAGTGCGTTAAATGAATGTACGTCTAACCGGTGCTCTATTCAAGGCAGTCTTTCGTAAAGTTTTATTCGTGCAACTCCCACTGAGCCAGAAAAACACGTGGAGGAACTCTGGGTTTGTACGGCTTCGGTAGCCCGCACAGCTATCCTGTACTGAAGCCTGGTATTGTAGTTTCGAAAGCTTGCAAAAGCCCATCCCCCTCTGTGTGTTTTGCGTACAGTGGACCAGACAGACTGAAGTAAACTGTTGTCACCGGTCTCAGTCCAGCTTTTTCGGTCCCCAGACATCTAGTCCACTCTTGAACTTCCAATTTGATCATGACAAGTCATCTGCTCCGGTTGTTGAGGTTCTTTGAGGCCATAATCATAACCAAACAGAAAGCGAGTTTGCGTGGGGACTTAACAGAAACGCTGTGTTTACCTTGAATGTCGCGACAGTCAAACTGTCCGTCTAGCAACACCTTCTCACCAGTTTTGAAGTTTGACATTCCAGTGGTGTGCCGTATGCCCGCCTGTATTTTACATGTTCGCGGTTGAGAAGACTTTGTGGGACGGTACAATCTGACAAATTAACCTACTTATGGTACCGCTATTCAGATTTGTGGAGGAAACTAGGAATCGTGCATTTCTCGGGAGCAGATCCTTGCCCCTATGCGAGTATTAGAACGTCAGATGCAACGTAGCGGTACGATGCGCGTCATACCAGTGCGTTTTTGGCGACTTCTATCCGAAAATGCTTCAGCGCAGCAAATAATCTCACACATATATACCATTTACAGATCGATGCTGCTAACGTGAAACCACAACAGCTTGTCAAGATTAATTATCACGCATTAACCTACCTGTATGAACCTGAAACTTGTATGAACAAATCAACCAAGCACTACACTGAAAAGTTCTATTGAAAGTTCTAATGTCTACTAGTTCTAATCACTCCGAATCACCCTTTCCACCCAAGTGATGAACATGTTGCCACCCAGATTATCATACCAAGCCTGTAGGCTCAAGTACTGAGGTTAAACTCCACAAATTATCTTCCTCAGATTAACCCTCACGTAAACTGAGCTGAGTCCAAACATTTTTCCCAGTGAGTGTTAGCCACTGCTCCAAACTCTCACGAATGTTACCAAGTGACCGTTCGCCAGTGCGTCAAGCATGGGCCCCTACGATGGCCCACATAAACGCCTAGCGAGTAGTAAATTAGTACCCAAAAATTATCGTCCTAAAACTTATAAAGATTCCGGTACAGTGATTCTGGACGCAACGTATCATGTCCTGCCGGACACCTGGTGTTCAGCAGGATTATGTG